GTTCCTCTGGCCAGCTTCAACGGCCAGGAATTTACCCGATGCCTTTTCCATGAACTGCTCGATAGTGTTAAATTTTTGAGCACTAGAACTGGCGAGAGAACCCACCAATTCCCGCATTTCAGCCATCTGATCATTCTGCACTGGGGCGGCAGGGGCTGCACCTGACTGCTGGAAAGGTCGCGACTGTGATGGAGCAACATGCCCCTGCATGGGCTGGTAGAGAGACTGCTGCTGCTGGAATTGCCCCTGTCTGGGCTGATATGGTGGCCTCTGGAAGCCCGGTGGTCCCTGGGGGACTGGTGGTCTGGAATTTGCCCCACCCCAGGAGAAGTTGGGATGCTGGCGCCACCCCTCATTGTAGGTGTTACTGTAGGGGTCATTGCGCCTGACATTGTTGATGAAGTTCACCTGCTCCTGAGGTGTGGTCGATTCCTTCATCGCCTGGCAGTCTTCCACTGTATGATGGGTGCTCTCGCACCAGTGGCTGAGCATCGCCTGCTGCTGTCCGGTCCCTGGAATCATCCCGGAATGATCGATAGCAGAAACCAGCTTCGACACCACCTGCACCAAATCAGAGGAATGGTTTCCCACAGAATGTACACCTCGGCTCGATGCTCTCCTCGACCTCCTCGCAGTGCCCCAATCATACCTGTTCTCTGCCATCTCCTCAAAGAGTTGATTCAGCTGTGGTGGTGTTTTAGTTAGTATGTTCCCGCCACAAACTGAGTCAATTAGCTGCTTATCTTCTGGGAAGAGGGCATGATAGAAGGTTCCCACCTTGAAAGCATCGTTGAAACCATGATTGGGACACCTCAGGAAGAGACTGTTGTATCTCTCCCAAGCATCCCGGATAGTCTCATCTTCATCCTGGGTGAAGTGGATGATCTGCTTCTGCAAGTCCGCCGTCTTCGACGGAGGATGGTAGCGGGTAAGGAACTTGTCCTCCAGGTTGGCGAACGTGGTGATGGAGGCCGGAGGTCGAGTGTCTAGCCACTCCTTGGCCTGCCCCTCCAGGGTGAATGGGAAGTACCTCAGCTGGATGGCATCTGCTGGGACCCCGTTGATCTTGATTCCATCGATGAGCTCGTGGAATCGCCCGAGATGTGATCGGGGGCACTCCCCCTCTTTGCCACGGAACACCACTGAACTGCGCAGCATGGTGATTACTGAGGTGCTCACCTCGAAATTATTGGCTGGGACATGAGGGTGTTGAATGGGTGACCTCATGTCTGCAGCCCTGGCGGTCCAGTAATGACCCATGGTCTGCTCCCCAGGATTGACCACATCATGGTCTTGTGGATCAGCCATCTCCTCCTCTTCAGTGATCTGTAGCTGTGCTACTGCCTCCTCCGCAGCCAGTCGCGCCTTTAGAGCCCGCTTGAAGTTTCTGCAGGTTCGTTCAAGCTCCTGGTCTAGTGGTAGTAGATCTCCCGACTGGCTACGGGTCATGCACTACCTGCACACAATCAGCAGAAGCAACCCGTGAAGGCACACAGGTGGAAGAGATAAAATGCAGTAAATAAAAAGCTAGAGTAACAAATTCTCACGTTTCCCCAATAACCTAGAGGATTCCCCGGCAACGGCGCCAAAAACTTGATGCTCTAAAACACAACACCAATCTGCGACCAAGTGTAATCGCAGACCGGGAATGCAGTAAAGTGACAAGTGATATTATCAACTCGGGGTCTAGATCTACTGCTTACTCAGTGATTATCTATTATCTAGCCAACTGAAGTAAGTGATTGTTGTTTTAAAAGCAAAAGCAGAAAGAAAGCAGGAATTGGTACGGTTTTCTCAAGCAGGTAATAGTCGAGTTCCCCTAGCTCCTTAGTTAGGTTTCAATTGTATTTCCCTGGGTTGATTTACTGTTGATTAGACTGCGGAAGATCCGACAGTAGCTTGGAATCTCTTAAGCTGACCAAGCCCTCTCAGTCTAACTACCCGGCAGACGACTAGTCTTCACCGGGATAGAAAGCTGAAGCAGTAAGAACAGAACTCCACTACTGGAATTGGATTCCAGTACAAAGCAGTAAACTGGCTAACTCTCGTATAGCCAATCTCTTACTACCGAATGATGAGACTCTAGCAACCTAATCAGATTCTATCTATCTCAGATTGCAGCAGGAATCAGGAAAAGTTGATCAGACTTCAATTGACTCAATAAACATGCATCATTTGATTAAAATCAAACAGTAATATCATCCCAAGTCATTACAATCAATCCCTAACACATAGAACTAGGGTTCTTCATCCCCAAGTGAAAGAGGGGTTCTACTCCATAGAGAGAGAGGAAAACAAGATACAAAGCAGTCATACTCATAATTATTGGAAGAATCTGCTCTGGGATGATGATTTCCACTCCTATGATGATCTCCAAGCTTGATTTGATGAAACCCAGCTCCAAGATAGCTTCTAGGATGTGTTCTTCGTCCTTTCTCTCTCTAGGGCTCTGTTTTTGCTCAAGAAATCCCATCCCCCTTCTCTTTGGCTAAAAATCTTCTTAAAAGGCATCAGTGGCCAAAGAACGGTCGAGTGCACGGCCGTGTAATGCCTCAGCCCGCCCGTGCTTTGGCTAGGTTTAATTACCCGGCTAGCTTGTTGGTGCAAACACGGCCGTGCTTTGGAGAGGACACGACCGTGCTTTGGGTGGACACAGCCGTGCTTTGTCTAAGCCCTGCCCGTGTTTTTAGTCAATATTTGCCAAACTCGAATTTGCTCTCGGCAGTAAAAGCACGGCCTAGGAACACGGCCGTGTTCTGCTTGAAGTGTGCCCGTGTTTTGGCTCCATAATCCCACACGGCCAGGCTTGTCAGTTGCACGGCCGTGTGATGTTTGTGTGTGCCCGTGCAGCTTCCTTAGCACCTCGCCACGCGCCCGATCTTCGCCCAATCGACCCCGAACTCGCTCCTAAACCTTCATTCACTTGCCAGGACCTGAAATATCACAAACAAGCACAACCTAGCGTGAAATCGGTCTAAAACACGAGAAATCACATCTCAAACGGTGTAAGAACAGGGGTGAAAACATGTGTAATTAACGGTCTATCAATGATCTCCCTCGACACCACCATCCCGATCCTGTGTACCGAAGATATAATCCTACTGAGACTGAATCTGCTCCTCAGGTAGACCGCCACCATACTGCCGTGCCTGAAGCTCTAGCTCATTATTCCACATTGTCTCTTGAAAGGTCTGATCACCCTCTAGAGCGTCCCACGGGTCTGAATGTGAGGCTGATTGATGACGTGATATATACACATGTTTTTGCCCACCATTCTTATACAGTTTGAGTCTTATCTCTCGTGTTTTAGGCCGATTTCACGCTAGGTTGTTCTTGTTTGTGATATTTCAGGTCTTAGTACGTGAATGAAGGTTTGGGGATGAGTTCGAGGTCGATTGGAGGAAGATCGGACGTTTGGCAAGAAGCTGAGGAAGCCACACGGGCACGCCTAAAACCCACACGGTCGTGTAAGGGAACCCATGTGGCCGTGTGGAAGTTACCGAGTCTTCACACGGGCATCCTGGAAATTCCACACGGCCGTGTGTCCCTGGCCGTGTAGAAAGCCTGAAGTCCACTTAATCGAAACTCCGTATTTTGATACTCACACAGGCAGCTGGGAAAGCCACACGGCCATGTGGCCTGCCCGTGTGGTCGGGAATTTCTGGGTTTTAACCCAACTTCGAGCCATAGGAGAGGGGATGACTTTTTGGAGCAAAAACAGAGCCCTAGAGAGAGAAAGTGCGAAGAACACCTCCTACGAGTGGTTTTGGAGCTGGGTTTCATCAATCAAGCTTGGAAATCATCCTTGGAGAGAAGATCATCATCCCAGAGCAGATTCTTTCCATTGTTATGAGTATGATTGCTTTGTATTCTGTTTTCCTCTCTCTCTCTCTCTCTCTCTATGGAGTAGAACTCTCTCTCACTTGGGTATGAAGAACCCTAGTTCCATGTGTTAGGGATCTTGATTGTAATGACTTGGGATTGTTATACTATTTGGTTTTAATTGAATGATGCATGATTCATTGAATTAATTGAAGTCTGATCAGCTTTTCTTGATTTCTGCTGCAACCTGAGATAGATAGAATCTGATTAGGTTGTTAGCGCTTCATCATTCGGTAGTAGTAGATTGGTTATACGAGAGTTAGTCAATGTACTGCTTTTGTACTGGAATCCAATTCCAGTAGTGGAGTTCTGTGTTCATAGCCTCAGCTTTCTATCCCGGTGAAGACTAGTCGTCTACCGTGTAGTTGGACTGAGAGGGCTTTGTCAGCTTAAGAGATTCCAAGCTACTGTCAGATCTTCCACAGTTTAATCAACAGTAAATCAACCCAGGGTAATTACAACTATGACCTAACTAAGGAGCTAGGGGGACTCATTCCCGAGTGACTCTTCCCTTGCTTCAGAAAACCAAACCAATTCATGTTTTCTTACTGCTTTTAGTTAAAACAACAATCACTCGACTTAGTTTGCTAGATAATAGATAATCACAGAGTAGGCAGTAGATCTAGACCCCGGGTTGATAAATAGAACTTGCCACTATTCTGCATTTCCGGACTGCGATTACACTTGGTCGCAGTTTGGTGTTGTGTTTTAGCGTGTCACTGATCTAGTATCGCTACCTGAGACCATGTATCTGCCTCCCATCGTAGCATGTTACGGTGGATACAAGCTATCCTGTGGTGGATGGAAGCTCGAAGAAGGATCCGAGTGAAACTGCGGCTGAGGAGGAGGATGAAAGGCTGGATGAGGTCCTGCCTGAAAACCTGAAGAAGTGGCGCCTGTCTGATGTTCCGAATAAGTGCTTGGCTGAAACGACGGATTAAACTGGAAGGTCATAGTAGGCCGGACTAGCTGTGCTCGCTGTCGATCTGAAATCCGTACTGGGTTAGGTACATCACGAAGCTCACGTCGCTATCTATGTGGCCTATGCTCATGTATGAACTGTAGCTCCGGGACGACCCAGTCCGGTGTCGGATCAGTACACTCTGGCCAGGCAGCCATGCTGGACTGATCATAAGAAGGCTGTACAGGTACTGTAACATCAGGATGCCTGCGCCGCTCCAAACCTAAAGTAGCAACCCCTAATGCCATCATGTTGGCCAACTTTTCCATCTGGTCGGTGGACATCCCTCCAATCTGTATTCAATCACTAAAACTCAGCTCAGCATGCTCCAAAGTGTCGTACTGAAATTTAAATTGAAATGTCTGAGATTTCACACAGTTAAGAAATTCAAGACAAATACAAAAAAATATTAAACAATAAATGACTAACCAATGCCTCCACTGCAGCTTCTCTCCGTGTGCCTGAACGTCTGGTGACATCTCGATACCACTCCATATGCTCTGAGTGGTAGGCTAAAACCTCCTCACTGTATGGATTCATCGCTATGAACTCATGTTGACGGTTCCACAAAGCAAGCGACTCTCTGGAGGCGTGTACCAACTGCTGCCCACACGATGGCCTACGAGTAGTCTGGTGAAGGAAAAATCTAACCTCAGCCTCAGGATGTGGTAGATGAGGCTCAGGCTTCCTCATGCCAAAGTGTCGAAGCACGCGGTTTGGATGGTGCCACATCACCACTGAAAAGCAGATCAGTGGCACTACTGCTCGAAACGTCTCAGACTCTATCACACTACCTCTGAGATGAAGTGCTCTCTCAACGTAAGGTTGGCACTACACACAAAAAATGGTCACGTTATTATCCCTAAATATAAAAAAGGACAACTATTTTATAAAATGAAATGTTATATACTAACCACCATGGTTTCCATCTCGTCAAACCACAACTTGTACTGGAATAGCTGGTCACCATACTGACGAGTGTTGGCCGGAAGCCATCGGACACCACGTGGGGATGCGTCCTCGACAATCTGCGCCCTCGTCTCTGAATGTCGCGGTGTCAAATGTGGGAATCGCTCCCACGCCCAGAGCTGCAGTAAAGGGACCCATCCACCAAGGTCACCTCCTAGAGAAGTGGAGGAATGCGTAATGTGCAAAGCCGACCTACCCATTTCACGGTACAGGTAGGATAAAACAGTTGCTCCCCAGGCAAACCGTCCAGCTCTCTACCAATCCTCCACCAAAAGTAGGTACTGTACGTGCACCGTAACTCCAGACCGATCCGGGAACAATACACCTCCCATCAGAGGTAGAGCATAAGCTCGTGCAAACTGCTCTGTAACCTCCCGGGATGCATTTCCTGGAAGATGATTGAATTCATCCCTCAACCAAACAATCCTAACGACATCGCCGGAAAGATCATCAGGAACTCTTCCTAACAGTCTCAAACAGATCTCCGGCCACTCCTCATCCGGTATGTCAACTACGACGGCATCACCGTCGATCGCCAGACCGGACAGTGTCACAACGTTCTCTAACGTGATCGTGACCTCACCAAACGACAAGTGGAAGGTCGATGTCTCGGGTTGCCAACGCTCTACGAGCGCAGTAATCAAACTCGCATCAGCATTCATAGGGACCAGGGGCAAAATAGTAGACAAACCCGTCGCTCCAATATATGGCAGATAACACTCATGGTAAGTGACTAAATTGGTCGTACCTCGAACATGGTAAGCTCGATCACCAGCCTATAGTGCACAATACTTATATTAATTCAATTTCATTCGTATAATTCTAACTTCACCTAGTAAAATCTAATCTATCTAATCTAATCTAAAATTATACTAATTTAAAAAAATTTGATACGTAATTCTATTCTAATTTCAGTACAGTTCAGTTCACCTAGTAAAATAGTATAATCTAACTAGCTAATTAACTTTACAAAAATAGTTATCAAATACTTACCTCGTTTTCCCAAACTGAGTCGATACGATGTTGACCATGTCTCCAAAGAAGTACCGGATCGACCAGAGCTGGATCAATTGTCGCAGGCGGTAGTCTCATGGAATAACTGTCCATAAGCCTAGGAACTGTAAAAGCAACAAAAACATTAATTAAAAAAATAAAAAAAAAGCCACCGCCAGCGAACTTCTCATCCTGAAAACGGCCGCCGCCTCCACGGCCTCGCCGGCCTCTCCCCCTGCCTCTGCCGGTGATTGCTTCCTCGTCGTCGGATGAAATATGCTCCGTCGAGGTTGGACTCAGGTGTTGGTGCCTCTGTCTACGGCGGGGACGCCTCTCTCTACGGCGGGGTCTCCCTCCTCGGCGTTGTGGAGCGACGGCGACGTGGTGGTGGATCTGGTTTTTCGGGCGAGTGAGAGAGAGAGCGGGTTGGGGGTGTGGTGTGTGGGAAGGACGAAGAAGAGGATAAGAAAGGAAAGGAGGGGAGGGCGTTGCACGGTTTTAAAAAAATGAGGGGATGGCAGGGCGCTTGAGTTTCCAGCACCAGTGCCTAAGTCTGGTTTTAGGGATTCAAAAAGTGGCCCCGCCTGGGTCTCTGGCGGCCGCGCCTATGACCCTACGCAAATACACAATATTTGTGTGAATACTTTTTAATCCCCCATATTGATGGTAAATTAAAAAAAAAGCAATATTTATTTCATTAATCCTACTTTTGGGAAATAACCCTGAAATTCTGGATTTTTTTTTCAAAGTACACACGTTCTAAAAAAAATCCCAAAATCCATATATTTTATCGATGAAAGGAAGAGTACAAGCGAATATGTTTTATTTCTTGGTGGAGGAGTCATCAATAGTGACTCTTTCAACTATAGGAGCAGAATTTGTTTGGGTATGGAATGAAATGATGGATCTTGTTGTAAAAAATAAATATTACATAAGGAGAATTTGTGGATGCTTCATATTTTGCAGCTCTGTGTGTCTAGCTTCGCAAGATTCTTGAGCCAATCGGACGGAAGCAATGTGTAGAAGGGACTACTCAGATTATTTGTGATAATAGCTCAACAATTAAATTGTACAAGAACCCTGTGATGTGTGGGAGGAGTAAGCATATTTGATGTTCATTTTCATTTCTTGAGGGATTTTGTCAAAGAAGAAGTTATTGAGGTAGAACACTGTGGAACAAATGATCTGATAGCTGATGTGATGATCAAGGCTCTGAAACAAGAAGCTTTCTGTTTCTTGTATATGAGACATTTCAGAAGTTGAACGAAGAACTTGTGAAGGTTAATCTAAAGGCTATGTTGGGGGCATAACTCGGTCATTCGCAAAATCAGCCATATCGCGCAAAATCAGCCATATTGCGCCTCCTCCTAGTCCTAGCCATGGACTCGCGATACACGTATACATAATTACAGGCATCCTCCCGCGGACTGGATCCGCTTGTCCCAACAAACCCGCGGAAGGAGAAGGCCAAAACAACGTCGTAGAACACCGACGTGCAGTTAACTCGCTGGTCTCCTTCCCGCGGACTGGACCCGCTTGTCCCAACAAATCCGCGGAAGGAGAAGGTCAAGACGACATCGTAGCACTAACGTGCAGTCACTTCTCAGAGCATCTTCATTGCAATTGCATTCTCAATTGCAAAATGACATGTCATAGGTGGTTGCAATTGCAAAACAAATTACATTGATGTGGCTACCAATTGCATATTTGCAAGCTTGCAACAAATGCAATTCCATATGCAAGTCAAAAAAGCCTAAAAAAAGGGGATTTTTTATTTTATATTCTTTTCTTTTCTCTTTTACTTAATTTTCTATAATTTAAACATAATATTTAATTACATTTGCAATTGCAAGTTAATTGCATTGATGTAGGTGAATGAAATGAATGTGATGTGGATTGCAAAAAATTTGAGTTGACAATAAAAAATATAAATACAATTTCTTTTGCAATTGCATTGATGGAGATGCTCTCACTTGTAGACCTAATCATACCCGAACGCGAAGGACGGCGAGCGTCAAGGGTCATTGGTGACGGAGGACTCCGGGAGGCGGTTCGACACCGCCAGTACGATCAGAGGCGAGATGAAAGGCGGGTAGGACTCCAAGGGTACCTTCCTTGCCAAGTTAGCTCAACTGGAATTCCCACGGTTCGCGGGAGAGGACCTGAGGGCTTGGTTTCCACGAGTCGGGCAATTTTTTTAGTACCAAGAGGTACTGGAGGAGCAACTGGTTGCGTTGGCATCGTTCCACCTGGAAGGCGAGGCAAATTAGTGGTGGCAGTGGTTGAAACGGACGTACAAAGATGCCGGGGAGTCAATTTCGTGGGAGCTATTCGCGCAGGAGCTGTAGGCGCGATTCGGACTGACGGAGGGTGAAAGCTGCGATGAGGCTCTCTATCGCATCCGCCAGACGGGGTCTCTCCTGGATTATCAGCGCGAGTTTGAGAAGCTCGCTAATCGTTGCGTCGGTTGGATGCAACATGCATTGGTGGGGACCTATCTGGGAGGGCTCAAATCCGAAATTGCGGATGAGATTCGCATGTTTCGACCTCAATCTCTCCGTGATGCAGTGAGCCTGGCGCGGATGAAGAGCAACCAGCTACAGAGGCACAAACCGCCAATGGGTCGCACAGCCTCCAATCTACTGCAGAGTACGGTGGCTGTGGGGTTTGGCAGAGGGTAGGCGGGAGCACGGGCTACAACCGCGGCGGGAGCTGGACCACCACGAGGTGCGGCGGGAGGCAGGCGGTCGACCTGGGAAGAGTAACAGATGCGCCGTGCTCAAGGGTTATGTTTCAATTGTGACGAACAGGTTACCATCGGGCACAAGTGCGGCACGATCAAGATTATGTTCTTGTTCGAGGAGGAAGATGCTGAATGTTAACCTTGGGAACAAGGTTGAATTCGCAGGGGGGTGGAATGGTAGCGACTCGTAGTTAACGGGCTTGGGTTGTTAGTATCAGGTTGCATATTATTATTATGTTATGGATTTAGACTTGTTCGGTTAGTATTAAGTGTCGGTTAGGGCATAGTACATAATCCACGAGAAGTTGGGCTTCTTAAGGGTGGCAGAATAGTGGTAGGGGCCGAGTGGCCTAGTCGGGTATTAGAGTTTCTACCCTATAAATATGTATGTTCGGTGTTAGTGTCGTTTATCGAATTAATAAGAAAAGGTCTTTCAACGCCAAAGTTGTCTCTCACTTGTGAGTTACAAGCAAAACCCTAACTCAGGTAAACGAGTTGCTATTAGAAGAACCCCCACGAAGTGGTCCCCACTCTGGAGAACACTTTCCTCTAGGACAGAGTCCAAGAGATGCTGCTGAGCTCCCCTCCCACCGGCCGGCTGCTCCACACTCACCAGCCTTACAGTTACCTGCCGGAGGCAGTGAGGGAGTCCAGATGCAGGATCGTGTACCTGGCTCAGAATCCGAAGGAAACGGTGGTGTCGATGTGGCATTTCTATAACAAGCACTTCAAGATCGGACCGGGCGATGAGTCGTTTCCGTTGGAGGGAGCGGTGGAGAGCTTCTGCAGTGGGGTTCTGCCTTTTGGGCCCTTTTACGAGCATGTGGTGGGATACTGGGAGGAGAGCCAGAGGCGACCCGAGGAGTTGTTGTTCCTCGAGTACAAGGATTTGTGGAGAGAGCTGAAGGAGCAAGTCTGGAAGTTGGCTTCGTTTCTAGGGAAGCCCTTTTCCCAGCTAGATGGAGATTGCGAGGTGGAGAAGGTGTTGTGGCTGAGCATTTTGGATAAGCTCAAGGAGCTGAAAGTTAACAAGAGTGGCATCGGGGAGCTGAACCATGTGCTCAATTCCATCTTCTTCAGAAGAGGAACCGTACGGGACTAGGAGAATTACTTGAATCCATATGGCTCAGCGCATTGACCAGCTCACACAATCTAGTTGAAGGGGGTTGGAATTTCTCTTTATGATTAATTGCTGGGTTAATTAGTTGATGCAATTTTCTACTACTTTTTTCTTTTTTAGCTTCGATTTAGTGTCGCCTTTGTGTCTTCTGGTTTCGACGAGTTCAGCTTTCTTGCCAAAAGAACAAAAAAAACTTGTCTATTTTTTACGATTCGAAAGGAAGAAGGTGGACGACGATGTGTTGATGTGTAGGTAATTGTGCATGCACGACTCTCAAGTTCCTATTACTGAATAAGTTCGCAGAATATGATATCAAATTACGTAGAAGAAATATTGATATTTTGTTTTATGAAGGGAAGATACTGGCATAAATTCACAATTATAAGTAGAGGTTGTTCGCACTTTTTTTTACAACTAGTGATAGCGTGATGGCAATGGGACATGACAAAGTGGATACTTCAATATCCATACCCGCCCCGCACCAAACATGGTCGGTGACAACTTGGTCGAGTGTATAACAATTACTCAACTCATAACCGGAAAAAATCCAAAAGTACCACTGTTTAAAAAAAAAATTCCAAAAATACCACCCAACCCCAAAAAATTCCAAAAATACCACCCTTTTTCAAAAACCGTCACCCACCCTGCGGTTTACACGAAAACCGTTTGTCGGGGGCGCGGTTTTCTATGCAAACCGCGGGCCTAGGGCGCGGTTATAAAAAAAAAAAATTTTGGACCAAACCGCTGGGTGGGGTGGCGGTTTGACCCAAAACCGCCACCCCAACCAGCGGTTTGGTCCAAATTTTTTTTTTTTCGGTCAACTCCTAACTTCGGCCGAAACTTCAAACGAACGTAACTTTGCACTCGGGTATCCGATCGTAGCGATTCGTTTTTTCATTTCGCATAACTTTTCAAGATCTACAACTTTTACTAGGATAACATTTTCAAAAAAGGAACTATTTGTGGATATACGCGACCTTGAGAATAACTTTACCTTTACTTTTCACAAATCCATGTACATTTTGAAATTATGATTATATTAAAAGTTGTAGATTTTAAAAAGTTATGCGGAATCAAAAAAAAATTTATAACATTCGGATTTTAGAGCACAAAGTTATGGCCGCCCAAAATTTGACGAAATGCGAGACCAGGCGGTATGCGGCTTGCAAGATCTCAAAAAGTTTGCGGCCTCCATTTTTTTAATCAAAATAACTTTTTGAGATCTTGCAAGCCGCAAACCATCGGGTCCCGCCTTCGTCTCGAAAAAACGTCATTTGCCACCTCGAACGAGCCTTTTTTTTATTTCGTCAAACTTTGGGCGGCCATAACTTTGTCCTCCAAGCTCCAAATGTCATGAACTTTTTTTTGATTCCACATAACTTTTCAAGATCTACAACTTTTAATATAATCATAATTTCAAAATGTACATGAATTTATGAAAAGTAAAGGTAAAGTTATTCCCAAGGTCCCGTATATCCACAAATAGTTCCTGTTTTGAAAATTTTATCCTAGTAAAAGTTGTAGATCTTGAAAAGTTATGCGAAATGAAAAAAAGAATCGCTACGATCGGATACCCGAGTGCAAAGTTACGTTCATTTGAAGTTTCGGCCGAAGTTAGGAGTTGATCGAAAAAAAAAAAAAAATTTGGACCAAACCGCTGGTTGGGGTGGCGGTTTTGGGTCAAACCGCCACCCCACCCAGCGGTTTGGTCCAATTTTTTTTTTTTTAACCGCGCCCTAGGCCCGCGGTTTGCATAGAAAACCGCGCCCCCGACAAACGGTTTTCGTGTAAACCGCAGGGTGGGGTGGCGGTTTTTGAAAAAGGTGGTATTTTTGGAATTTTTTGGGATTGGGTGGTATTTTTGGAATTTTTTTTTAAACAGTGGTATTTCTGGAAAAAGTCCCTCATAACCCCATCAAATTAGATGGAAGCTTAAATGTTTTTGATTGTTGTCAAGCTATTGTGCGCGCAAGTCCAACTTTCTATTGTGCTCCTATACCCCTTTAAAATTAGGAAAACAACACTAGAAATTCCGAACGATAAAAAAAGTGTCACTTGTGTCCCGAACTATTCAACATGACATTTATATCCTAAACTATTTTTTCGTTAGTGTTGACCAAGTTTGACTGTCAATATTTAACAGAAAATCAAGTCAGTGTCAACTGGGCATCTGATATGGAATTTAAAATATTGATTTGTATTTGTATTTATATTTTCATATAAGTTATTAAAATAATAAAAGTAAAAAGTTACAAAAATCCACAAATCGTCTTAATCGTTTCGTTGATTCTGCTCCTTAGTCAATATCAAGTTGACCACTGTATGATCAACAATTATCTATAACGCTCAACAAAATAGCCAGGACGTAAATGACACACAACTATCATACGTTGAGACATAAGTGGAATATGGGTTAATACCTTAGTTTGGCCCGAACTATACACAAATTTTCTACTTTGGCTCGTGGTTTCCGAAATTGCTATCCTAGCCTGAACTATGCACCATACTTCCTAACTTGGCCCGGAGCCGGATTTGACCGTCAAATTGGACGGTCAACTCTGTTGACCGTTAGTCAATTATCATCTCACTTGCCACCATAGCAAACATGGAATAAAAAAAATTATTTTTTTGTTTTTGTATTCATTTTCTTTTCTAATAATATAATAAATGGAACATATTAAAAAACCCAATTTATCTCCTACCTGTCTCACCTCAATCGGGAATTTTTTCCCCAAACCCACTTCTTGCTCGAGACCCAAATCGATCCTCCTTCCCCTTCTCCTCCGCCGCTGACAACCCTCCCCCGCCTCTCCTCTAACGCTTCCACCTCTCTCTGCCGGCGGCATCCAATCGCTTGCTAAGCTCGAAAATCCAATTATCCTTTGAATTACAAATAACAACCCCAAAGCCGGCCACGGTTACCTTCTTGTCCCTCACTCGCTCCTCGCTCTCCAAACCCTTGAAATACAACCATAAAGTGAGAATAATTGTAAAAGGAGAAGGCAGAATTTTGTGAAACCTTTTCTGAATTTCACTGGCAGCTTTGCTGCAGAATATATACAGAGGCAGTGACTATAGGAGAGAGTGCCTCTAACGGCCTCATCCTCTCGTCAAGAGACAAGTGTCTCAATGGTGTAATTACATGCAATATTTACAAACTAAAATCTGAATATGTGCAGTAAAGTTGGGACGGCGACGTATTAGCTTGAACGCAGCTCTTTATCTCCTTCTTCTTCCTCTGCCTTGAATTCTTGACCGTTGGAACTTTCCTCTTCTTCTTCTTCTTCTTCGCTTTGCTTCAAGGCAGAGTGTCCCATTCCAGTTGACAGTCCCCCACAAGCTGGCGAGTATATATCATATACTCCCAGCTTGAAAAGAATCCACTTGAATCTGTGCGCACTTAGACCCTTGGTGAATATGTCGGCTAAGTTCCTGTCAGTGCACACATATTTCAGGCTGATTAGCTTCGATTTTACCCTCTCCCTGATCACATGGCAGTCGATCTCGATATTTTTGGTTCTTTCATGGAAAACCGGATTCTCTGCCATGTGTATGGTGGATTTGTTGTCGCAAAAGACGGTGGCTGGACCCTGGTATTCGACATTCAAGTCCTTCAGCAATTGGGTGATCCATTGTACTTCGCACGACAACTGGGATAGGGCTCGGTATTCAGCCTCGGATGAGGACTTCGAAACAATCGCCTGCTTCTTTGCTTTCCAGGTAATGAGTGAGTCCCCCAGAAACGTACAGTACCCTGTAATTGACCTCCTCGTATCGGGGCAGGCTCCCCAATCCGAATCACTGTATCCCGTTAGGGTGAAATCAGTGTTTGATGCGAAGAACAATCCCTGGCCTGGAGAGTTCTTGAGGTACCTGAGTATCCTGTGTGAAGCCTTGAGGTGAGATCTCTTGGGTTGTGCCTGGAACTGGCACAATTGTTGTACTGAGTATGAGATATCAGGTCTTGTGGTAGTTAGGTAGCTTAGTCTTCCAACCAGAGATTTGTACTCATATGGATCTTCTGATTCATCATCGTTGAATTGTGATAGCCTTGTCTTCATGTCTGATGGAGTCTTAGTTTGTTTTGAGCTTAGGAATCCTGTATCAGTTAGAAGGTCGAGGCAGTACTTCCTCTGGGTAACTGAAATCCCAGCACTGCTTCTGGCTATTTCCAAACCCAGGAAATATTTTAGTTTTCCAAGATCCCTAACTTTAAACTCCCTAGATAAGAAGGCTTTTGCTTCCTGAATCATGTCCTGATCGTCTCCTGATAGTATTAAGTCATCGACATACACCAGAATAATGGTGATTCCTTGGCCTGTCTTCTTAGTGAAGAGGGAGTAGTCTGAAAAAGATTGATTAAAGCCAAACCTGATCAGGGCATCTGTGAGTCTTGCATACCATTGCCTCCCAGCCTGCTTGAGGCCATAAAGGGACTTCTTCAGCTTGCACGCTTTGCCAGGTATTTCCATTCCAGGAGCTAACTTCATGTATACCTCTTCTTCCAACTCCCCATTTAGGTAAGCATTGCTTACATCCATTTGACTTAGTTCCCAGTTCTTGACTGATGCAACTGCCAAGAGGGTCTTGACAGTGTTAATCTTTACCACTGGGGAGAAGGTATCGAGGAAGTCAACACCATACACTTGTGTGAAGCCCTTTGCAACTACTCTGGCCTTTCGCCTTTCAATTGATCCATCAGCAAGTAGTTTGGTCTTGTAAACCCACTTGCTGCCTACCAGCTTCTTTCCTGGTGGGGCATCTACTACATCCCATGTGTCATTGAGTTCTAGGGCTGTTTTCTCTTCCCTCATAGCTTGTCTCCAGCATTCTTCTTTCACAGCTTCATGGTAGGATTGAGGGTCTTGGAGGTTTGTGACTGCTAGGGAGAAGTGTTTGTGGTGTTGACTTAGTTGTGAAAAATCCATGTGAGAGGAGATTGGATACTGGTGCTTTTGTGCAGTAGCACCTGTCCCCAAGTA